CCACTAAGATTTCTTTTTCGTTTGTCTTAATTTCATCACCTTTACTTTTGACACAAAGAGAAGGTAAATCAGTACCCTCTTGGATACAGTCCCAAGTTTCTGTTTCTATGCTAGTTGATTGATGAATGATTTTTTACAAATTGAAGAAAGTTTGTTGTACAAACTAGCCTGATTAACTCCCTATTCCAATGTTCAGTTATTGTGATGGATTACATTTAACGTCTAACAACGCTGGGATTCAGCTTCCTTCAGTTTTTTTCTCAGAATCTATGATATTACAATGCCTTATCAACCAACTGAGAAGTAAAAATCTGATAGACAAATACTCTTCAGCTATCATACTAAAACTTTCATCTTTGCAAAAATCATCCATTCCAGTGTCAATAATTTATATGCACATTACAGTCAATAAAAAGTATAACATTACGTTTTTTGAATAAAATTCGAACTATTTGATCTTTTACAAAATCCTTCAATAAATAAAGATCCTTTCTATGGAGTTATATTTCAACTATGCAAAAGTGTGTGGAAGAGAAAAGATTCTCCTTTAAGGCAATGTTAGTTTCGTCTAAAATCGTGGTTCCGTAGAATTTTTTCAATTCAAACAGGCTATGTAAAGTATTCAAACCGTCTTAAATATACATCAGTTAGTCTCTTCGACAAATTTAATCAGCACAGTACGAAGACTATAAATATTATCATTATTTTCCCCTAGTGGAACATAGGGATTCAGTAGCACGCCTCTATTCCAGGCTCTTCTCTGTAGTCATTTCAAGCCGTATCCACCACTGACCACAAGCTTTCATTTCTTCCTCATATCATCTCCTCCATGTCATCCTCAACTCAGACGACCAAATAGTCGTATCCCATTTCGTTTCCACTCGAGGACCTAGCATGGCGAGTGATGTTCCCAGTCGACCTTCTCAATGCATGCCCAATCCATTCCCATTTTCTCCCACTCCATATTTGTTAGGTAATAGGTTCTTAGTTAATTCGTTCTTAGAGTTTCTTGTCGCTTTTCTTTCTGGTCATCTGACCTTCAGTACTGAACGTAAGCGGCAGCTGTTGATGAATATCTGTAGTTTGTTGGAAGTGCTTTACGTGACACGCCAATTTTCTTAACCATCACATAGCAGTACTGACTTGATATTGGTGTTAGAAATCCAGATCTTGTTCACGCTTTATGCTGAGTGCAGTAGATCTCCACACTGATTTCAGATTGATGGAGGAAGGCCTGTCATGTTATCTCGCCGATCCTGACTGGCTTTAATATCCTCGTCTGTGCCACCGCCTGTAGTTGAAACGATGTTGCTCTGTCTAGTTGGTAGGTGAAAGAGACTACTTCCTTTACATTTTTCCCATTGATGGTGATTGGTGCCTCTTGTTGTTGATGTTATTGTTGGTTAGGTATCTTCATCACACGTGTCTTCTCTACATTCACCTGAAGTGTCATCTTCGCTGTCCAGTCTCATCTGTTAACTTGTCAGTTTTCGAGATCTGTCGATCTTCGAGTTTGTGCGACAAGACATTAGGAATAAATCATCATTGTTGGCGAGATCTAAATCTTCTAGGGTCTTTTCATCGGTGCAACCGGTGTATCCCCCTCTTCTTGCTCCTCACTGTTTGCTGCATGATCCAGGCGACCACAATCAAGAAGATCATCGATGATATTAGGCAGCCCTGACTTACTCCTGTCTTCACTTCAAAGGCGTCACTTAGCTTTCCATTTCGGATCACTTGGCATGTGGCGTCTTCATATAGTTGTTGAATGAGGTTGATAAAGATTTGTAGCACTTCGTAGTGTTGAAGCACCTGCCAAATTACTTCGCAGTCAACGCTGTGGAGGCCTTTTCAAAGTCGATGAAGTTGAGGTAGAGAGTTGACTGCCATTGTATACTCTATTCTATGATGATGCGCAGTGTAGCGTTGCGATTTGATCCGCACATTATTTGTTGTCCCTGAAGCCAACCAGCCTGTTCTGATCGTAATTTTGAATCCAGAGCATTTTTTAGCCTCTTCAGGATGATGCGGCATAATATTTTGCTTGGAGTGGACAGAAGCATGATTCCGCGCCAGTTCTTGCAAAGACTTAGGTCTCTCTTCTTTGAAATTTTGACAAGGTAGCCCTTCTTCCAATCAACGGGCAGATGCCTTTCCTTCCTTCCTTCACAACCTTCTGCAGTAGTGGTGTGGGCCAAAATTCAATGGGGTAAAGTAAATAAACAAAGATAATACAACATTTAGAAACAGATGAAGGATAGTTTGGAGGGATTAAACGTTTCTATACCTCCCTTAGCATTAGAATGAGATAATGACTACCAAATATAGTGCATCATAAGGACAAACTGTTTCTGAATGAATAAAGCATTTTTGACGGCTCTTATACAATAGCTCAGTCGGTAGAGTTGAGGACCGGAAATCCAGTGGTCGCTGGTTCGAATCCGTTCAGGGTTCAGTGTGAGTACAATCGAGCGATAGTAATACGTCCCGAATCCATATGGTAGCCTGGCGAAATCACTGGTGATTGAAGTAAAATAAAAATTTGCTTACCAGTCTGACCTTGTATGTCAGTTAGTGTAGCATCGGGCCGGAAACCCAGTGGTCACTGGTTCGATTCCCTCTGCGGTATAAAGCCTGTTTTAGGGTCAACCCTGTAACCTTTTTCTATAACGTGTCCACCCAGAGACAATGACTTCCGTTCGTCCCCTGCATTTATTGGATTATTTGGATGTAATTGTTTTTCTAGTTATTCAGGGATATTCTCCACCATCAAGCAGGATGTGACGCAATCATTTAGATAGTGACGAGGTTTATTTTGAAGCATAGACTTCACTTACTTTACAATACTGAGTTTAGCTGGATAGTATGTCTTTTTAATAACTAACATAAGCCTTTGTCTTAAGAGTATACGGTTTAATTCCCCCTTTTACGGTAACGTGATGAAGACGTTCTTCTCCAGGACAGAATACAGATTAGTTCTGACAGTTGATGAACTATAGTGGAAATAATTTTCTTGTAAGTATCGCTGATCAAAATTTGTTAGGATTCTTTTGAATAAGCACTTTACTAGACCTCGTCTGTACTGTGTTGGATAGAAACTATGAAAGTCTAGGTAGTGTACAGTCCACATAGGTTTGCTATTATATTATATGATTATTTGTCCCTTGGGTTCCTAGTGCAACATGCGGCTTCAGTAGCACGCCTCCATTCCACTCTACTCTCTGCAGTCATTCCAACCTTGCTCCACGACTTCCTATTAGCTTTCATTTCTTCCTCACATCATCGCCTCCATATCAGCCTCACCTCAGACGACCAACTCATCGTTTACCATAGAAAGCCACATCAGTTTACAGGTAAAAGACGAGCGTATAGCCAATGATAGGTATCTAATGTCACACAAATATAAAGATCTGCAGGCGAAGACTAGCAAGTTGACAGATGAGACTGGACAGCGAAGACGACACTTCAAGTGAATGTAGAGAAGACACATGTGATGAAGATACCCAACCAACAACACCATCAACAACTACAAGAGACACCAATCACCATCAACGGGAAGAATGTAAAGGAAGTAGTCTCTTTCACCTACCAACTAGACAGAGCAACATCGTTTCAACTACAGGTGGCACAGACACACATGAGGATGTTCAAGGCCAGTCAGGATCGAAAAGACACAGCTTGAAAGGCTTTCATTAATCTGAAATCAGTGTGGAGATCTACTGCACTCCACTCCACTCAGCACAGCGCGTGAACAACATCCGGATTTGTAACACCCATGCAAGTCAAGTCGATGCTGCTATGTGATGGTTGAGAAACTTGGTGTGTCACGAAAATCATTTCCAACAAACTACAGACATTCATCAACAGTTTCCACCTACGCTCGTCACTGAAACTCAGATGACCAGAAAGAATAAGCAACAAGGAACTCACTTTGGGAACGGACCAACCAAGAACCTATCACGCAAGGAATATGCAGTGGGAGAAGGTGGAGATGGATTGGGCATACACTGAGAAGACCGATTGTTGATATCACGCATCGAGTCAAGCCGTCGAGTGGAATCGAAATGGGAAACAACGAGTTGGTTGTCTGAGGTGAGGCTGATATGGAGGCGATGATGTGAGGAAGAAATGAAAGCTAATAGGAAGTCGTGGAGCAAGGTTGGAATGACTGCAGAGAGTAGAGTGGAATGGAGGCGTGCTACTGAAGCCGTATGTTCCACTAGGAATCCAAGAGACAAATAATAATGAATAAAGTTGATACTGGTGATGACTGCAGATGAAAGGAGATTTTAAACACTGGGAAGAAATACTTGAACCAACAACTTGCAAGTTACTAGCCTTGTGTTCTATCAGAGTTTCATCATCATATGTCATGATAGGACCAGGAATTACTGCGTAACCCTCAGGGTTGCCATACCTCATATCAGTACATCTAGTAAAATGGTAGTGAAGTGGAAGGTGAAGAAAAGAAAATTCAGTCGAAAGAAATATAAAGTACGAAAAGAGAGAAAGAAAGAATGAGAAAATGGTGACATTGGGCATTATGTTAAGATGGGGATAATGTGTGTGGGGATACATCTGCACCACTGACATCGCTTCTCAGCTATATCACCTAGAGTCTCTAGCCACTGGTTCCTCTTGTCCGGCGGATCCCAACCACCCAGTCTGCATCGCCCCACATGGCTCAAACCAATAGTCAAACATTTTCTTAGCCTGGACCTACTTCGGCCAACATTGTGTGATGAGGCAATCGGTGACTAGTCCTACATAACGCGTGTCCCAATTATCTCAGTCGATGAAGGTTCATAACCTTATAACTTCTTATACCCTATTGCTCTATACCTGACTTGTGTATTACTAACCTGATGAGTGCCAAACCCTGGCTATCTCAAACAATCTCTCTCTCTCTGTCTTAGTCGAGTAATTCTCAATTCATTTATTAATGTTGATATTCATTTCACCTATTCTTTCTTCAATTAATCGATAAATTGAATTTATAGATGAAAACAAATCAATAGAACAATTATGTTGGCTCAGTCTACTCCAAATGAATCATCATCATCATCAGTGAATTATCAGACAATTGAAAATCAAAATATAAATATTGATAATTATAATCAACAATCACAAATTACCCTCAATCCAATTCATATGTCAATTCATAAAAGTGATAATAATACCAATAATAATAATAATAATAATTCGTGTATATCATCAAAGATTACACGACAACTACACAAGATTTATCATTGAATAGGATTAAATCACCATCTGGTATACCAAGACTATTATCTTTAAATGATACATTTAAAAAGCAAATTTCACCTTCAACTAGTGAACTGATTACAAAAAATAATCATTATCATCAAAATGGTGGAAATTATATAAACAATGAACAACCTTGTAATGACAATAATAATAATAATAATAATGCACCTACAACAATACCTACATCACCAACTAATTCTTCATATTCATCAAAATCTGTACCAATTGGAAATGTAACCATTTCATCGAGTATTGTTATGGCTAATACTTCGATAATTAACCCTGGTTATCAACGTCCAAGTCGATCACGTGCTATGACACAGTCAGTCACCAGACCAGATAGAACAACTTCAGAATGTAAGTAAATAATCTTCGTTGTTTATAGCCTTTATACTATTATTATTATTTATGCCTTTGGTTCCTATGGGAATATACGACTTCAGTTGCACGTCTCCAGAAGCCCAGAAGTTTTCATTTCTTCCCCACACCATTTCCTGTATGTTATCCTCAGACGTTTAACTCGTCTTTTCCCCTGTTGGTATGGCGTGTGATATACCCAAATGGTCTTCTCAGTGTATGTCCATTTAATTCCAATCCATCTCCACTCTAATCTTCTGCATACCTGTTAGTCAATAGGTTGTTGGTTGGTTGGTTCGTTGCTTATTCTTATTATTCTGACCATCTGATCTTCAATGTCAGTATCGAGTGAACGTAGGCGGCTGCTGTTGATGATGTTTGTCTGCAGTGTGTTGGAAATACTTTTCGCAACACGCAAAGTCTCTCTGATTTACATTACTGTTGAAAATCCGGATGTTGTTCACACTGTATGCTGAGTGCAGTGCAGTGCTCTGCAGTACATCTCCACACTGATTTCAGATTGATGCAGGAAGGCCTGTCTTGATGTCTTTCCAATGGTGGCTGACTTTGACATCTTCATGTGTGTCTGTGCCGCCTGTAGTTGAAACGATGCTAACTGGGTCGTTAAGTAGGTAGGTAGGTAGTAAGTGAAAGAGACAACTTCGTTTGGATTTCTCTCGTTTATCGTGATTGGTGATTATTAATGTTGTTGTTGTTGTTGTTTGGGCATTTTCATCACTTGTGTCCTGTCTACACTGACGTGAAGGAAGTGCCGCCTCCCTTCCCTGCCTCTTCTGCCAACTTGTTGGTTTTCGCCTGTAGATCTTAGAGACTTTTTCAGCATTATATATTAGACATAAATCATCATATACGAAATACAGTTAGTGTATGCCCATTTTCTTGTTCCTCAAAGTATACATATGTACCAACTACATTTTATCACAGTTTCAGAATGAGAATGTTCAAGCTTGTTCTTTTGCTTACATTCTCCGCATTTCTGAACTGGACTTTGGGCTTATAATTTGACTTCGCCAAGAAATTTAGTGCCTAACAACATCTGAAAGTTTAACATAGGACCAGGCACTACTGTATAAAGATCTAAGTTGCCACATCTTATATTAGCAAATCAATTAACAAGATGGTAAGATAGAACATGAAGAAGGATAGAAAAACTGGTCAAAAGAAGTGGAAAAAGTCAAAAAGAGGAAAAGAGAGTGAGACGATGATGAAATGAAGTATAACGGTTAAGATGAAGATAAGGTGTGTATGCATCTGTGCCACTGACATCGGTTCTCAGACACATCAACAGCAGTCTCCAACCACTCATTCCTCTTGTGGTGTGCACCCCCAACAGACTAGTCTGCATCGCCCTACATGGCTCAAACAAACAGTGAACAACTTCATGCATTGATGCCATGTTTAAGTCTGGCCACCCGTGCCACTCGCCAGCCTTAACCTACTTCGGTTGATATTGTGTGACGAGGCAGACGGTGGTTAGCCATACGCAACACATTTTCCAGTCAGCCATCTCAATCGATGAAGCTCCCCAACCTCATCAATTGTCATACCTCTCTTGTCTAAAACTCTACGTCTGACTTCTCTTTTACTCACATGGTTACACCACGAAACACAATAGAGAATTATTTAGTTTCGTCAAGTTTAAAAAGCCCACAGATTAGCTGCGTTATCAACACGATAACTGTTTCTTTTCTACTCAGAAAAAATCAAAAAAGAGTTAGAAACAAATCAGTAAAAAATGGGAAATACTAAGCAACATCCCTGAGGAAATTTGTGTGGAAGAACACTGGAATTCCCTGAAAGAGATGTGGAAAGGAACCTACATAACCATATGAAGAAGGAAGAAGAAACAAGACAAGAAATGGATCTCGATGGACATATGGAAGCTGATAGAGAAGAGGAAGATGGCAAAGCAGAAGATGAATCAGTGCAAGGATGCACAACGTAAAGTGTATACAATCTATAAAGCACTACACTGGATAAAGAAGTAAAGATGAGTGCGCGTTAAGACAAAAGACGCATCTATGACACACTTACAAGTGAAGCGGAATAGGCTGCTAGTAGGAGAGACCTGATAACATTATATCAAATAACCAGGTTACTATTGATCTAGAAAGAGATCAAAACAGATTAAACCAATGATAGTGAGGGAAACCTAATTACCAATGCGGAGAAACAAAAGAAACGATGAGCTAACCGCTTCAAAAAACTCTTGAATTGACCACCACCACCTCCAACTCGTCCAGGAATACTACCAGAAGCTCAGCCATAGAATTACGAATGAACACAAGCCTTCCGAGAAAAGCAGAAGTGAAGTCCTGAGCGTAATATAGTTGCTGAAACCTGTGAAAGCAGCAGGACCAGATGTAATCCTGTCAGAAGCACTGAAAACAGACACAAAGATAACAGCGGACACGCTCACACCACTAATGCAGAAGGTTTGGAAAGAAGGAAAGTTATCTGCGGATCGGAAGAAGGGCTACCTTGTCAAACTTCTAAAGATGGGCCACCTAAGTCTTTGCAGAAACTGGCGAGGAATCATGCTGCTATCTACCCCAAGCAAAATATTATGCCGCATCAATCTGGAGGGACTAAAGGATACGCTGGATTCATAATAACAACCGGAAGAGGCTGACTGGCTTCAGGAAGAACAAATCATGTGTGGATCAAATTGCAACGCAACGCTACGCATCACCATAGAACAGAGCATAGAATGGGAGTCAACTGGATTTTTAACGAACATCATTGATTTTAAAAAGGCTTTCGATAGCATCGACACAGAAGTAATTAGGCGGGTGCTTCAAAGCTACGGAGCACCACAAACCTTTATCAGCCTCATTCAACAGTTATATGACGACGCCACATGCCAAGTGATTCACGAAGGAAAGTTCAGTGAAGCCTGTGAAATGAAGACAGAAGCAGGACAATACTTCCATCTACTGCCACTGATGATCCTCCTGATTGTGGTCGACTGCAGTTCACTACACTGGATCATACAGCATACCGTGAGCAGCAAGAAGGGGAGCATACCCTAACTCGAACGATCAAAAGACACAAGAAAATCTGCATTTCACGATTGATGATTTTTGTCCAGTGTCGAATGTCGCACAAACTTCAACATATGTAGGCGAAAACCAACAAGTTGGATGAAGAAGCAGAACAGAGAAGACAGAAATTCCTTCACATGAACGTAAACAGGACACAGGTGATGAAGATACCCAAACAACAACAACAACATTAACAAATAACAATCACCATCAACACGAGAAGTCTAAACGAAGTTGTCTGTTTCACATGCGACCCAGGCTGCTTCATTTCAACTACAGGCGGCACACGTACACGCACACGCACAGATGAGGATGTCGAAGCCAGACAGCATTGGGAAGACAGGAAGACAGGCCTCCCTGCATAAATCTCAAATCAGTGTGGAGGTCTACTGCACTGCACTGCACTGCACTGCACTGCACTGCACTCCACTGCACTCCACCTCACTCCACTCAGCATACAGTGTGAACAACATCCAGATTTTCAACACTAATCCCAGTCAGTCAGTCAGTCAGATCAGATCAGGTCAGATCAGATCAGATCTGATCAGATGGTCAGAATAATGAGAATAAGCAAGAAGGAAGATACTCTGGCATTGGCAACAAAGCAACGAAGCAACCAACAACCTATTGACTAACAGGTATGCAGAAGATTAGAGTGGAAATGGATTGGATTCGGTTGGATTGGGCATACATTGAGAACACCATTTGGGGACATCATGCGCCAAGTCAGGCAAGGCCATCGAGTGGAACGTAAAGGAGGAACGACTAGTTTGGCATCCCAGCTGAGGGTGATATGGAGGATGAGATGGTGTGATGAAGAAATGAAAGGTTCTGGGGAGTGTTCTAGGCAGATTGAATAGACTGGAGAGTAGAGAGTGCAATGGTGACTAACAAATGAATCCCTGTGTTCACGTAGGAACCCAAGAGACAAATAATAAAAATATACGTATATGTCGTCATTAAAGCAGGCATACCAATTTAATGATTTCCTCCCATCTACTCACAATGTTTACGTTGACTCTAGAAAATATCAGCTCATCTATCAGGCTGCCCATTTATAATCATGTTTACAGAATAACAATCTTAACGTCAAACGATCGATGGCTTAAGTTTTCTTACATCCTATTGGCTTACTATTTACTCACGTCAAGGTCATTGTGTCCTATTTTAATGAAAACCATTTTTCTTTCTAATGAAGAAAAGACAAACAGAATCAAACAGTCTTTCTCTTCAAAAATTTTATTCTTACATTTTTTTTCCATACTTTTAAGCTTCAGTTAACACTAACCCCTATTCCATAAGAATTAACGCCTTTCAAGCAAACTTCTTTGAGTTATAACGCCATTAATTGTACAATAATCGAACTTTTCATATGAAATCCTATGATTATATATTTTCCAGAGATACTGTGAAGTTAATTTGTGTTGATTTTCTTTAAATTTCGTACAAGAAGTGATTGGTTAAATTCATAAGATAACTGTTAGCCATAAAATTGTCTTCAGTTTAACAGAAAGAACTCAACTAGTGAATGTATTGTGCACATTAACATGTACTTGATTAATGGAACAACATGAAATCCATACTACATCTTCAGTCTTTAATAAACATATGATAGAATGTTCCAGAATTGTTTCCTATCAGGGGGCAAAATATATTGAATAATGAAAGGAAGTTAATTAATAGACATTTGTATTTAGAATAGGAAAATAGACAGGGGATTGTGAAATTAAATGTAATTACGTAATACAAGATAAAATGTATGACAAAGTCAGGAACTGAACGAAGGGTTATGAAGAAAAAATTGCGATTATGTAATACCGGATAAACCTATGACAGAGTATGAGAATAAACAGGGGATCATAAAAATAAAATAGTAATTACGTAATACAGGTTAAATCTGACAGAGTAGGAAAATAAGCAGGGCATTATGAAAATAAGATTGTAATTACGTAATGCAGGTTCAATTTGATACAAAATGAATCTGTGGCAGATAGAGCTTTATGATGACCATGGCAAAGATAAAGGTTGAACGTACCTTTTTTTTGCACGCATAACTCTGGTTTGAACTTCTGGATGGCTAATGCTTCAGCTATAGACAAATGCCTTAATTTTACTCCCTTTGAGTGGTTTAATCGAACAATGTAGAGAATTTTGAATGAGCTCTCGAAAGGAGCTAAGTGGCTTGAGTTCACGAGGTGTTCTGTTATCGAACCGAAAATGTATTTCCGTTCTCCCTTTGCAAGCCAGACAGGGTAGTGTTTGAGGACACGTTTTAAAAGCGGACGTATGGTACGGTCGATGTAATCAGCTCCACAAGAGCAAGTAAACTGGTATACACACATTGATGTGGCCCAATACGTCGGCTTTGCGTCAAGCCCCCTAGTGGAATCCCCATAGGAAGCGACAAGTTAGACGTCCGAAGGTGACATGGAGGAGATCATACGAGGAGGAAATGAGAGCTTCTGGGCTGTCATGGAGCCAGGTTCAAAAGATTTCAGAGAACAGAGTGCACTGGAGAAGTGCTACTGAAGCCCTATGTTTCATTAGGAACCCAAGGGACCAATAATAATAATACGTCGGCTTGTCTTTTACACATTGACCGAAAAGTTTCTTTCAGGAGAAAATTATCCGAATGTTGGCGGTAAAGTATGTTGTGTTTATGGATTTTGACGGTCGTTTCCTTAGGATCTCTACAGCGATATCGTTTTTGAATTCAAGATTCAATAAAAGAATCTTTTTCAGCGCCAAATGTCTTTGTTCACTTGGGTTATTTGGCTTTATGTTCTTATCTATGAATCTGAGCTGGAACCCATTTTCCGCTAGAGTTCGTCGAAGTATTTGCAGTTCTTCGTCAACCGTAACCTCAGTGCATACTTTCTTGATCCTTGAGGAGAGTGAATGAATAAGATTTTTTTTCCTACATAGGGGGACTGAACTCTGAAAATTAACAAATTGCCAGTTCCATGTAGGCTTGCTGTAGATCGATCTACGAAGTGAAACATGTGATACCACAATGATTTAGAGATATTTCATCCAATTATACAGGTGGTAAACACCAAATAAATGTGATTGGTTACTCTGAGGTGACCAATCACAACTGGAATAATCTACAGTCTTTCAGTCAGTGGGTCACAGTTATTACGATCATAATATTAGAATTGCATCGGCTGATAGATGTTTTGGAATCCATCAGATCTATCTTCTTGATGAGTGGTATTAGATGCAAAACCTAGGTGAAGCATACCTAGATTACAACCAATCACCTCCAACCGCTTAATATGATATAATATAAGTGTTTGATGCCACTGTAGTGGGCGTTGCTGATAAAAATGGATGTGAGTAGTATATCTTGAGAGGGTGGCAGAAATCATAGGGAATCACTAGCAATGGATAAAGATCCCCTCAAGAGAAACGCAATAGACAAGGCAGGCGTATGAAGAGCAAATCAAGAAAGAAGCAGAAAAGGAAACAAAGCGTATTTTGCAAATGATAGTTTTAGAACAAGGTGCACCATATTTAACGACTACTGTCCCATTTGTTGACGATAGACATTCCTTCGTACCTACCTGCCTCCTGCTTCTTTCATCATGAGTGAGTGTTAACTGAAAACGTTAAAGGTGAGAAATATGCTGAAGTTGAAGAATCAGAGGAAAAAGACACCGATTTCGGGTTTCAAAAGGCGAATTTACCTCCAAGACGTAAGTGTTACGACACTATGGGATATTGAGATGCAGCTATTTCAAGGTGATCATTTCATGATAAGATCTTTGAACATAATTAAGATGTGAATGGGAAAGATCCATCGAAGGTAATATGGTTGGACGTGAGGACAGTTATTCAACAGTGGCGGTTTCACGATATCGTGAGCTAACAGAAGTTGCAAATATGGACCATTTGGTTATTACCCAGTGGCTAGCTCAATGGTTAACGTGGTGGCCACGGAACCTGAAGGTCGTTGGTTTGAGCCCCGGTGGGGTCGTCGGTGCTCACTGCTAAGGAGTCCCGTACTAGTCTGATGAAACAGCTGTCCAATGCTCCCAGGTTTCTTTTGTTCCTCTCCAACTGATGTCAGTCTACAATGAATAACAACTTGAAATATTTCCAAAACCCAGCAACTCCCTCGAAATTTAACAATAATAAATCATAATTATGAATTGAAAAATATTTTACCTTTTAAGCATTTGGATAATAATTAATTGTTGACTTTCTCTTCTCTTTTTGTCTTCTCAGGTCCTCACAAGTCATTTGATGTAGAATCAGATACATCCAGTGTAAGTTTTAAACAAAGTTATTTAAATGACGTCAACTTGTTTTTGTGTGACCAATTAAAAAGGTTTATTGATTTATTGTAAAAAGAGAATCAGCTAATGAAAGTTGATTGGTTACGAAATGGATTGTTCTGTGAGTAAGTATATGATCTGAAGAATATTTTAGTGCCATGATAGAGATAGACATCAGTTCAGTTCAACCTGCCTACAACACTCCCCAGAACCTTTCATTTCTTCATCACACCATCTCATCCTCCATATCACCCTCAGCTGGGATGCCAAACTAGTCGTTCCTCCTTTACGTTCCACTCGATGGCCTTGCCTGACTTGGCGCATGATGTCCCCAAATGGTGTTCTCAATGTATGCCCAATCCAACCGAATCCAATCCATTTCCACTCTAATCTTCTGCATACCTGTTAGTCAATAGGTTGTTGGTTGCTTCGTTGCTTTGTTGCCAATGCCAGAGTATCTTCCTCCTTGCTTATTCTCATTATTCTGACCATCTGATCAGATCTGATCTGATCTGACCTGATCTGATCTGACTGACTGACTGACTGGGATTAGTGTTGAAAATCTGGATGTTGTTCACACTGTATGCTGAGTGGAGTGAGGTGGAGTGCAATGCAGTGCAGTGCAGTAGACCTCCACACTGATTTGAGATTTATGCAGGGAGGCCTGTCTTCCTGTCTTCCCAATGCTGTCTGGCTTCGACATCATCATGTGTGCCTGTGCGTGTGCCGCCTGTAGTTGAAATGAAGCAGCCTGGGTCGCATGTGAAACAGACAACTTCGTATAGATTTCTCGTGTTGATGGTGATTGTTATTTGTTAATGTTGTTGTTGTTGTTTGGGTATCTTCATCACCTGTGTCCTGTTTACGTTCACGTGTAGGAATTTCTGTCTTCTCTGTTCTGCTTCTTCATCCAACTTGTTGGTTTTCGCCTACATATGTTGAAGTTTGTGCGACATTCGACACTAGACGAAAGTCATAAATGGCGAAATGCAGATTTTCTTGTGTCTTTTGATCGTTCGAGTTAGGTATGATCCCCTTCTTGCTGCTCACGGTATGCTGTATGATCCAGTGTAGTGTACTGCAGTCGACCACAATCAGGAGGATCATCAGTGATTTTTGACACCCTTGTCTTACTCCTGTCTTCACTTCAAAGACGTAGTTTAACAGTTTAGTATTTATACTATGTATTATTTGTGTGTGAAATAAAAATTTGGACTGCGACCGAATTCAAAGGATTACCAGGTTAATATACAGTTTGTTCTTTCAGTTATAGCATATTCCAGAGAATATGTTGCCTTTAGGTGAATACGAGATCAGGAAAATAACTTATTAGCAGGCTCCTCACCTTACCATATCTCTACTGTTGAACATCGGTGACATTTCTCAGCTGTAGTGTAGGATAAAATTACCTGCTGTTCAATATATTCTATTCTTGGCAAACTAATCAGTCTATGAGATAATCGTTGTATTCGTAATCGCAATAAACAAAGCAATTCTGTCGCCGACAATTCTTTGTAAGTCTTTTCAAGAATGTATAAATTCTCGTACACATTTAAGCTACTCGTTATTATGGTTTTCTGTATATTCCATTGAATTCCTGGAGGTCTCAGACCCCAGGATCTTTCATAGGAACCTTCAATCATTATACAAAGAATTCTCTTTCAAGTTATTATTCATCGTAGACTGACATCAGTTGGAGAGGAACAAAAGAAACCTAGGAGCACTGGACAGCTGTTTCGTCAGACTAGTATGGGACTCCTTAGCAGTGTGTACCCACGACCTTACCACAGCGATCGGACATACGACTTTCAGTTTCCGTGGCCACCACATTACCATTGAGCTAGCCACTGTATCAGAATCCAATCGTCCATATTTCCGACTTCTGTTACCTCTTCTCTTTTGTTGAAGTTCTTGAAATCTCCTATAATATATACTAGGAAGTCTAAGTTAAACATTTATTTTTCAATTTGATAGTTTATGCGGGGGTTTTGTGAGAGTAGCTACTCTCAAGAAATCTAGAAGCAATCAAATCAAAAAGTTCAATAAACTAATGCAAGAAAAATATGCTTCGGAAAACAATGAAATTACAAAGGAAACATCATCGAACATCGATAGAACAAAGTGGGTAGTCAATCTCTCCTCGAAAGCCTTAAGCTCAGCTGAGATGAAAGTACTTGAAAAAGGACTAAACTTCAACATAACAGTAGATCATCTAAAACCAGAAGATGTCATACCTAGCATAGAAGTAGCATTAAGCTCGGTGGATGTGACAACTGCTGAACAGGTTAGAGCGCAGTGTGCATTAGCACTTAAAAAACAAAAGAAGACACAGCGAAACTTAACGAAACTGGAAAATTCAGCTTTAAACAATCTACGAAAGGATAATAGTATAGTAATTGCTAAATCTGACAAAGGTAACTCAACAGTAGTTATGGACAAATCGGATTATCTTAAAAAAATGGATGAACATATCCAAACAGGGCCATATGAAGAGATTAAGAAACCTATAGATACTGTCATGAATAAAATTAAGAAATCTACAACAGATCTGATACGCCGACTGAAGCCATCTCTAGGTAAGTCCGAATGGTTTACTTTAATGCCAAAAACTAATAATCCTAGCAGAATTTACGGTACTATTAAGGTTCATAAAGCAGGTTATCCCATTAGGCCGATAGTTGACTTCCGAAACACACCAACATATGAGATATCAAAGTATTTAGCATCAGTATTACGTCCTGTTAGAGACCGTTCCAACTCTAGACTAGTAAATTCTTACGAGTTGAAACAAAAACTTAATGACCTGCACATAGAAGAGGATGAAAAAATGGTTAGTTTTGACGTAACAAGTCTTTATACTAAAATACCAATCAATATGGCACTGGAGGCAGTCAGAAATCAACTAGATACTGACTCACAACTTACTCAAAGAACCAAGGCATCGGTTGGTGAAATCATGTTAGGAGTGCAGTTATGCTTAACCTCGACAGTCTTCAAGTTTCAGGGAAAGATATATAGACAAACAGAAGGAGTAGCAATGGGATCACCAATATCCCCTATAGTAGCAGATATATTTATGGATAGTTGGGAAGATATGGCTTTACGAACATATAATCCGACACCTAAGATATGGTGGCGATATGTAGATGACACATTTACAGTGTTGAAATCGGAACATATCGACAGTTTCTTGACACACATAAACTCAGTAGTTAACGCAATCCAATTCACCTACGAAGTAGAAAATGAACAAGGAGAATTACCTATGTTGGATTGCAGAATAAAACGAAGGATAGATGGTGGTTTAGATACTACCGTCTACAGAAAACCAACACATTCTAACAGGTATCTAGACTTCAAGTCATCTCATCCAGTGTCAGTTAAAGCGGGTTTAGTCAAATGTCTAAATAACAGAGCTGAGAAACTCACTAGTCATTGTAAGGACTTAAATAAGGAATTGAAACACATAAAAGAAGCGTTAATAATTAATAATTATCCCCATCATTTTATTAAGAAATTCACACGGACGCATAAGAAGCAAAATAATAACACTAATACAAATACAAATTATGTGGGGGTTTATTTATTTATTTATTTCAAGTAGGTACTCATTCTGGGCTGACATCAATTAGAGAAATCTTGAAGCACTGAATAACTGATACTCTTCAATAGTGCACATTTATAACTCATCCAGTAATTAAATCAATGACCATCATATTCTGTTGCTAGCATGTAATTACTGAACTACTAAATCATAAATTAGGTTTCCAGTGGTTTAAGATTTTAAAAGGTTTTCCGACTGATTACATTTTATGATGAATATTTATTTCATACTTATTTTGTTTACATTTTATTTTATCATCCAATCTGTTTTTTCTTTCTGCCTTTTTAGGTATTTTCTAGCAGTGGTAAGTTATACAATCGTGTATTGATCATTGAATATCGATAAGTAAATCTTCATGATTGTATTTTTAACACTAGATTAACCTTCTACTTTGATATAAACTCAAAGATCTACAGGCTAAAACTAACAAGTCGACAGAAGAGGCAGCGAAAACAGGATGTCAAGTGAATATAGAGAAGATAGAGGTGATGATGATATCCAACCAACGCCACCTCCACCACTAACAACAACAAGCTCCAGTCAGCATGAACGGGAGAAATTTAAAGGATGTTGTCTGTTTCACCTACCGACCTACCTAGACAGCACCGTTTGAACTACAGGCGGCACAGGCACACGCACATGCACACATGAGGATGTCAAAGCCAACCAGCATTGGAAGACAGCAAGACAGGCCTTCCTGCATAAATCTCAAATCAGTGTGGAGATCTACTGCGCTGCACTCAGCATACAGTGTGAACAACATCCGGATTTTTAACACCAATGTCAAGTAAACGCTTCCATATGGTCCAGAGACTTGGTGTGTTACGAAAATTATTTCCAACAAGCTACAGATATTCTTCAACAGCTGCCGCCTACGCTCGATACTGAAGATCATATGAGTTGTTCAGAAAAAATAAACAAAAAAGAACTGACTATGGGAATATTACGCTTCAAGTCAGGCCTTCGAGTGGAGTCGAAATGGGGAACGACGAGTTGGGCGTCCGACGGTGACATGGAGGTGATCGTGTGAGGAAGAAATGAGAGCTTCTGGATAGTCGTGGAGCCAGGTTCAAAAGACTGCAGAGAACAGAGTGGAATGGAGGCATGCTACTGGAGGTCTATGTTCCACTGGGAACCCAAGGGACAAATAATAATAATAATAATTGATATAAACCAGGAAGGGATTCGAACAAGTGGCCTCTGGTTTGCCGGTATGATGACTTACGAGTTTCAGCAGCTGACTAGATTTTAATTTACCTCCAATCATCAAAAGTTTCTGTAGCTACAATGGTTAAACAAAATATTTTGAGGATAATCACGCCTATATACACAAACGTGAACATTAATTGGCCTTTTTGATAATTTATCGTGAACTGAATAGTAGAATGAAATGAAATTCGAAAATGCTACAAACTCAAAGATACATTTGAAGTGGATACAAATTTTTGCTCAGAACGTTTCATTTCACTGAGCTGTATATGACTGTAAAGGAGACAATTTATTTGCCAAAAAGCACGATTTTCATCAACATATCGTACCTCAAGGTCAGAAGTTGGATAACGTCTTGTTGATTCGGTTCAATAAGGTTGAAATCCTTTTGCTCACGTATAATTACTGACATCTAACATTAGGCCACAGGGAATGGTAGTATGATGTCATTCAACTAAGAAACAACCGTTCTAGCTGTTTTAGCAGTTAACCTTTACAATGATGAATGCCTGTTGCAAGCCACTATGCTTGAAGTATTCGTCTAACAAACGGATTGCCCTACCGTACACGAAGAACGTCTCCAAGATGACGATTAGATTAGTGAAGCCTTTTTGATTCACTGTATCCTACTGGCCCACAAAATATCTTCAGTCTCTGTTATGTAGGCCAAACGATCCAATAGTAAAGGAAGACAAAATTAACACTATCTATAAAGTAAACTACAGAAACTGGGAAAAACACGACATCAGAAAACGTGGTCACCCTCTTGGTATGCGTCTACATGAACATTAACTAGCAGTGAAGCTTCATGACACATCTTCGTTCATATCGATGAATACAGACAACTGTGGACATAAATTTGAAAGGGAAAATGTGGAAATCCTGGATAGAGGAAATACAAAGAATACGAGAGAATTTCCATTATTCAGCAGGCATATCGCCATTGGGTCAATCTACCAACCAATAAGAAATGACAGGAAGGTCAAATTTTAGGTCATCTGAACAACCAATCAAAATAAGTGTATACATAATGATAAGACCCTGGTGGAAACAGCCAATCACACACAAGGTCATCAGAACAGTCTACTAAGGTACTTGTGCAGAAAACCTTAATGTCCACTTCTTTCTTTTTTGCATAATGTTAATAGATTTATTGTTGTTCATTGGTTTATAGGTCCACCAAAACCCATATCTTCAAAAGTTGGTTCATTACAGAATGCAAAACACAAACCAGGCGGAGGCAATGTAAGTGATACTTAATCTCATTTTCATAATTGATTTCCTATTTTAGTCAAATATATCCTGTAGCCTTGAAATAACTAAAAGAACAATCGAAAATTAGGCATGATCAAAAAAGTTTAAAAGGTCATTTATTAAACGGGCAACTAATGTGATTTATAGTATCCATCCCTTATCTGCGAATCTTTTCCATTATAACAAAATACATGACAACGAAACAATCTATTTTTACGATCTGGTTAGTAGTGACTAGCTGTGGGATGGAGCCTGAGCGTCTCGTCCTGCTTAGGACTCATCAGCTGTGCGTATTTGCTCATCATCATCATCAAAATCAATATGGGAAGAGGCATTACTGCACAACGGTTTAAGGTCCAATACCTGATATCAGCACACCAAGTAAAAAGCTGATGAAATGGAAGATAAAGATTATATTTTATTATCTTTCCCTTGGGTTCCTAGTGAAACATACAGCTTCAGTAGCACATAGCCATTTCACTCTACTCTCTGCAGTCTTTTCAACCCTACTTTACGACTCCCCACAAGCTTTCCTTTCTTCCTCACATCATCTCCTCCATGTCACCCTAACCTCGGACGCCCAACTCATCGTTTCCCCTTCGGATTCCACTCGAGGGTCTGGCATGGCGCGTGATGTCCCCAGTTGGCCTTCTCAGTGTATGCCCAATCCAATCCATCTCTACTTTCTTCCATTACATATTTGCTTGGTGATAGGTTCTTGGTTGGTTGGTGAGTGAGTTCCTTGTTGCTTATTCTTTTTGGTCATCTGAGATTCAGTATCGAGTGAGTGTAGGCGGCAGCTGTTCATCACATATGTCTGTAATTTGTTGGAAATGCTTTTCATGACACGCCAAGTTTCTGAACCATCACATAGCAGCACTGACTTGATATTGGTGTTGAAAATTCGAATGTTGTTCACGCTTTGTGCTGAGTGTAGTAGATCTCCCCACTGATTTAAGATTAATGAAGAAAGGCCTGTCTTGCTTTTCAGATCCTGGTTTTGACATCCTCGTCTGTGCTGCCTGTAGTTGAAGATAACTTCTGTACACTTAAGTTTAAAGAATTGCAAAGTGATTATTTTATAGATTATTGGTTTATTTTATTTCTGTACATCACAGATACCAACATAATTGGGTTGTTGATAAAATATAGTTGAATGCATGAAATTCCCCCCCCCCCGCCTAACATAGAACATTGAGACATTTACTCTAGAGTATACTTTGCAGTTTATATTCATCACAACCTATCCATTGAATATCCTACATTTAATGATGGTTGTTTCGCCTGACATTCATCAGCAGCATTTCAGTTGGTAATCAACCCTCGCTGTTCCATACCTCATCATGATAGTATACAAAGAACTGGTGGATAGAAAAAGACTCATGTCAGAGTAGACAAATTTGTATGAGAGAATAAACAATCTGAAGATAAAATTTCGTCTCTCAGACCTCAACCAGGTAGTCTATATCTACTCACACGACTCACGTCAACAGTGCAAGACTTTATGTAGTGATCCTACGTTTTCGTCATAATCATCCTGAACCCTCTTATAACCTAATCCAACTTCCCATTGCATTGTATTTTATAAACACAATTACATCAGGAATCTAGAGGGATCTCGTCCTTCAAATGAATTAAGGTGCTCTACAATATGTTTGATATTCTGTAGAATAGAAACTCTGATGACACCTTGTTCACCTTGTTCGTTTTCATCCGTTGCTAGAGTGTTTGTTCTCTTTAACAGACTTGAGACAACAGAGACCTTCACAGTGATTGCATATGAACAGTCGAAATCCCAACATTTGTTCAAATGTGTTGCTTTACTGAAAATTATTATATTATTATTATTATTATTATTATTATTATTATTATTATTTGTCCTATGAGTGCCTAGTGGAACATAGGGATTTAGTAGCACATAGAAATTTTACTTTCTACAGTCTTTTCAACCTGGCTCCGCGAATCCTCACAAGCTTTCATTTCTTCCTCACACCATCTCCTCTCCATGTCACCCTAGCCTTGTACGCCCAACTCATCGTTTTCTCCTTCCGGTTCCACTCGAGAGCCTGGCATGTGATGTCCTCAAATGGTCCTCTCAATGTTTGTCTAATCCCATCTATCTTCACTTACTTCTGCATAGTTGTTGGGCGATGAGTTCTAGGTTGGTTCATTGCCAGGCCAGAATGAGTTCCTTGTTGATTCTTATTATTATTCTGGCCATTTGGCCTTTAGTATTGAGTGAGCGTAGGCAGAAGCTGTTGATGAATGTCTATGGTTTGTTGGAAATGCTTTTCGTAACGCGTCAAGTTTCTCAACCATATACAAGTACTGACTTGACTGGTATTAGTGTTGAAAATCCGGATCTTGTTCTTTACTGAAATGGTTATTCCTAAATGTCTATTTTTTTCTGCTTTCCAAGACAATATCGAAAGTATTCCGAAAGGCGATAAGAATTATAAAGAATGTCCCATGGTAGAATTTTTTCACACAAAGTGGAATCAAAATTGTCTAAATAGGAATAAGGGAATAAAACGTAGTTTGATATGGTCTCAACCTTCCCCCTTTCCCCTCCACATAATGACATAACCAACATGCAATTGGATTTTCTTTAGCAACAGGAAATTAACGTAACACGTCGCACACAGGTTGACTTGCGCCACTATTCTCAATTTACAGACATGTTACCAAGAGTCAGTCCCCAACCACTGATTTCTACAGTCTCTAGGACCCCAACTCGGCATTCTTTATGTCTCAACACCGTACCAACCAATAGTCAGAGATTTCACTGACAGGTTCCAGGTCTCAGTCAAGCCGCCCATTTCTCTTCCTAATCTAACTTTCTCTGGCATGGCATGTCAAGGTAGGCAATGACTTGGCAACGCAGTACATGTTCAATTTATCTCAGTCAACTAAGGTTCATATCCTTATTCATCAACTAGCTTGTCTTGTTTAGTGCCCAATATTACTTACACGGTGATTGCACTAAACGCAAGCAATGCTACAGAGACTTCTATGATCAAAATCCTGTTACATGATATATTGATAGTCGAAAACTGAAAATAATCCATAGGATGATTTTGATCAAGACAGACAAGTAAATATTGAAATTAATTCGATCACAGATATAATAAAAGATGGTTGTCTTATGTCAGTAGTATTTGAAGCAATGGTTATAAGCGTCGATTTTTAAGCTAAACATTATCCTTTGCTAGAGTTCAAATAAATTCGGTTGATGAGTCCCATAGAGAATGCAAACAAGCGTTTTGAAGTCAACTGTAAGTCACCATTAAATAAAAATAACACCTTTTAGTCCTGATCAATTGTTTTTTTCTTCAGAAAATATTGTTTTGTTTTCCCATTGTTTAGATTATTAATTTTCAAGTTGATTCTCATCAATATTATTTTGTAGTGGTAGTAGTAGTAGCGCTTAGATAAACAAAATATCATCTTAGTGTGTTTACGCACACACACACACACACACACACACACACACACACACACACACACACACACAGGTGTACATTGAGTAGCTTCATGATTCATTTTAGGGTAAATCAGTGATTATTGACTGAATCCTACGGATTTTACCTTACCCATTGTCTTCATGGTGTGATTCAGTTCAATGTTCAATGTGTAGTGAATTACTAACAACAAATATATACATGTAGAATAACATAACCCTAACGCAGATGTTATACATTGTTTACTTTCAATTTCTTATACATTATCCATTTAACCAAAATATGTATTTATTATAAGTTTTATTATTAATATTTTTTTCCTCTTGGGTTCCTAGAGGAATATAGAGCTTTAGTAACACGCCGCCATTGCACTACCTTCTCTACAGTCGTTCCAACCTGACTCCATGACTCTCCACAAGCTGTCATTTCTCCCTTACACCATCTTCTCCTCCATGTCATCCTCGCCTCGGATACCTAACTCGTCGTTTCCCCCCTTCCAGTCCCAGTCGACAGCCCAACTTGACGTGTGATGTCCCCAAACGATCTTCTCAGTGTATGTCCAGTCCATCTCCACTTTCTGACTATACATATTTGTTGGGTGATAGGCTCTTAGTTAGTTCGTTGTCAACCAGACAGAGATCCTTACTGCTTTTTCTTTTTGGCCATCTGAGCTTCAGTATCAAGCGTAGGCAACTGTTGATGAATATCTGTAGTTTGTTGGAAATTCCCTTCGTAACGCCCCAAGTGTCTGAACCGTATTGAAACAGTGATTTGACGCTGGTGTTGAACATCCGGATCTTGTTCACGTTTTGTGCTGAGTGTAGTAGATCTCCACACTCATTTCAAATTAATGAACGCTTGTCTTGCTTTTCCGATCGTGGCTGGCTTTGACTTCCTCGTCTGTGCCGCCTGTGGTTGAGACAGTGCTGTCTAGTTGGTAGGTGAAAGAGACTACTTCCTTTAAGTTTCTCCTTTTGATGGTGACTGGAGCTTGTTATTGTTCTTGGTGGTGTTCGTTGGGTATCTTTATCACCTCTGTCTTCTCTACACTCAGTTAAAGTCCCGTCTTCGTTGTCCAGTCTCATCTGTCAACTTGTCAGTTTTCGAGATCTGTCGATCTTCGAGTTTGTACGACAAGACATTCGACATAAATCATCATTGTTGGAGAATTCCAAATCTTTCACGGTCTTTTCATTGGTGCAACCGGCGTATCCTCCTCTTCTCACTCCTCACTGTTTGTTGCATGATCTAGTCCACCACAATCAGGAAGATTATGGGTGATGGTAGGAGGCAGTCCTGTTTTACTCCTTCCTATCTTCATATCAAAGGCATCACTGAGCTTTCGATTGTGAATTACTTGGCATGTAGCCTTTTCATATATCTGTTGAATGAGGTTGATAAAAGTTTGTGACACTCCTTAGTACTGAAGCACCTGCCTGCCAAATTACTTCTCGATCGACGCTGTCGAAAGCCTTTTCAAAGTCCATGAAGTTGAGGTAGAGAGTTGACTGCCATTCTATGCTCTGTTCT